TAGCACAATATTTAGGTAGCATGACTTTAATCAGCAGGTAAACAGGGTGCAAATTTTGACAAAGTTTGACCTATAGGGCCACTATGAGTTGGGATAATACATGATGACAAAGTGTTTGGTTTGGTGGAGCATGAATGAAAAGATAAGTGCATGACAAATTATGAACTAAAGGTATGGGAAGTCAGGTCACAAAGCCAAGCCCCCAAACCAAACCCATTGTCATTCAATAAGTTCTCATAGTGACTCCTATGTGGTGTCTTATAGACTGCAAATCTTTAGAGAAGTAGACATCCTTATCTTTCTCCTGATGAGTGGCTGGTGGGTTGGAACCATTGACTTTGAGGTTAGCAGTCCAATGATTACCCAACAGTGAGTGCCAACAGGGTCTGTTGGTCGCAGGGCAGGGGGATGAGGGACACAGTGTTGACAGAACTGTGGCTATTGTTGGCAGGTGCCATCAAGTTACCTAGGACCCACAGAGACCCCATGCACAACAGAATGAAACACTAATGGTCCTGCACCATCTTGATAATTGTTCCTATGCCTGAACCCATTATTGCAGCCACTGTTATCAATCTACCTCATTGAGGGTCTTCCTCTCACTGCACCTCCACTTTGCCAGACAAGATGTCCTTCTCCAGGGAGTGGTCTTTCTTGACAATATGTCCACAAATCTCGCCATCCTTACCTCTAAGGCGCATTGTGGAGGTACTTTTTCCAAGACAGATGTTTGTCTTTAAGCAGACCATGGCACCTTCAACATTCTGCTCCAGCACATTTCAAATGCATCAATATTTTGGGGGGTGGGAGGTGGGGGATCTTCTTCACTCAATGGCCAGCTTTCACGTGCATGAGGCTAAGGAAAATAACATGGTTTGGGTCAGGCACACCTTAGTCCTCACAGTAATACCTTTTCAATACTCCTGTGCAGCAGATTTAGCAAATGCCACACATCTTTTGATTTCTTGACTGCTGCTTCCATGAGCCCTGATTGTATATTCAAGACAAAGTGCTTCACTTCAACCTTTTCCCCATTTACCATGGTGTCTGCTGGCATTTGGCATACCAGTGATACAGCTTCTGACGTCACAGCAACACACAAGCCACCACAGTTCAACAAACTGACAAACAAGCGGTGCAACTGTGGCTAGTGTGTTCTAGAATGGATTTGTGTGGAGGGCTGAGCAGTCTTGATTCTTTTACACAAGGGGTACCCTCCCCAAAATGGAAAAAAAAAACTCCACTGGGTGGAGCTTTCATAGCACGCATTGTTCCTGCTAGGTGAGTATTGAGCAACTCACTCTGAGTTAGTGCACCCAGTGGTATCCCCTGGAAAGGTTCTTTCTGGCCACAGTGAATTTTTTGTAAAAGCCGTTTCATTTGAACCTTGTTTTTTGTGATGGTCAAGTTAAGAAAACACTGTGCAGCTATGAAATTTTGTTTCCTGCTCAAGAAAACTGCCGCAGAAACTGCAGCAGCTTACTAGGGCAATGCTATGGGAAAAAGTCAAGAGTACAAGTGGTTTTCTCATTTCAAAAAAGGTGAAATGTTGATTGATAACAAACTTTGTTCTGGATATCCGTTATTTCCCTGGATGAAAATATTGACTCGTAGTGCATTTGGAGTTTGTTCCACCACGTCAGACTGTTAATCAAGCTTTCTATTTAGTTTTTAAAAGATAGCATAACAGTGCGTGGCAAAAAAAGGCCTGATTTGTGGCAAGACGGGAGACTGTGGTTTTGCCACATGGAAATGCACCTGCTCACGCAGCCATCTCAGTGCACCCAATTTGGCAAAAACGGCATGCCTCTCTTACCCCATGCACTTTACTCACCTACCCTCATCCATGCAACTTCTTTTTGCTTCGTGAATGAAGAGTGACAAGAAAGGACCGCAATTTGATGACAAAGTTATGAACTTAGAGTTGGCCATTTTAAGTCAACATTTTTCAAAGATGTATATGTCAAGCCGTCTAATAGGAGACTGAAAAGTTCAGCTAAGAGTTCTGATTTTCTTCAGTCAAATAATAATCATGGTTCGCCGTGTTACTCAACATTCATACTCGGGCGGAAAAAAAAAAAACACGAGGGAGGTGCTATCAGCCAACCAAACAGATGCGTTTGAAAAATGTTTCCAAGAATGGAATCACAGATTTGACAAACGTATTAAGTGTAATGAGAGAACTTTGAAGGTGATAAGGTTTTGTACTAAATTTAAATACATAGCTTTAAAAAAATTCCTGGTTTGTGTGTGTGTGTACCCCCTTGTAAATGCATTCAGGTTGGGAAAAGTGAAATAAAATTTTAGTTGAATGGGCAGAAGAGGCAACATAGATGGCGAAAAATTTAACCAGTGCAGATGGGATCAAGAGTAATCAGAGATGATAAATTAGCAAGACAAGCTGGGTCCTGGCTGTTAATGCTAATAATCAACTAAAGACATAAGAAACGCAGGTTATCAGTGGAGCTGGTGTTGGAGACAAGTTAAGATTGATAAGCTGTGCTTCAAAATCCACCATTTGCTTCTAGAGATGTCTCTGAAAAACCCTGTTCACAGTAATATTGGGAGAAGGTAATCCTAGAAGTGCCTCTCGGGTGTTCTTGCTTTCTTACCACTTGACATCGTGTGAGATGTACCTATCTCCCACCTTTGTAACCAAAGGTAAAGATCAGGCAAATTAATTCAGAGATACAAGTCTGACGGACTTCAAACCTCATGCAGAATTCATGCCTGTCCAATCTCTTCTCTTCTCACTGAACTTCCTGACCTGGGCAGAAACTGAGCAGCAAGTGGGGTTAACAGCATCCCAGGATGCTGTCGAGTAACCAATTTTCAGACAGTTCAGTCAAAACAGTGGGGTTCCACCTACTCCTCCCACAATGCCATTTCTAAGAGTGTTACAGGTATCCAGCAGTACATTCCATAGCCTAATGGCCAGCAGTCCCTCATAAAAAGTAAATGCTGTGTAACAAGGCGAACCATGATTATTATTTGACTGAAGAAAATCAGAACTCCTATAACTGAACTGTTCCATCTCCTATTTATCAGGCGACTTGACATACACATCTTTGAAAAATGTCGACTTAAAATGGCCAACTCTTAAGTTCATAACTCGTAGTTCAATCTACTTTCAAACAGTAGTGGCTTTCAGTTTTGAAGGCTGCATCATCCCCTCTATTTTAATGTATTATTAGGTCAGTGGTTCTCAACCTTCCCAATGCCGTGACCCTTTCATACAATTCCTCGTGTGTGGTGACCCCCCCCAACCATAAAATTATTTTCATTGCTACTTTATAACTGT